TATTATTACTTTGAAACTAAGAGCATGAAGACAACTATGCCAGTGTTTTAGCTCATTGTGTTATAATGGCTCCTGGACACATCTGGGTGGAGTCACCGGCCAGCTGTGATCAGATCGCGGGGGAGCCGGAGCTTTTCCCGGCAAGCAACGAGCGCAAGATGGGGTTAAGCGCAGTGCTGAAAACTGTTTCTAATATAACATCTAATTCATGGTATAATACCTGCACTGCAGGACTTGAATCGTGTCTCACACAGGCTGTAAAACAAGCCTAATGCGAGGGGAAAAAACAGCATCTGAAACACAGTCCTCACACACACATGTCTGAGGCTTCTAAACCTGGGGTGTCACAATCCTCAAGGCTTTTCGGTTTTTAGGCCCGCGACGATGACCCGGGTTAAAAATGGGGTAGATCTTTTCCTCGAAGATATCGATAAATGTGTAGATGACGGTCATATCCTCGGCGTTGTGAAAAACAACCCTCCCGCCGCCGTAATCCACGTACACGCCGATCTTCCGCGGTTTGGAGTTGAGGCGCAGGGTGACGGTGCCGAAATCGTGAGCCGTGTAGCTGCCGCCGCGGTCGAGCGCGATGATCCACACTTTGTCTGCCGGGCGGGCTTGGTAACACAGTTTCCTCTCCACGGACGCGGCGGCCACACCTAGCTCCCACTCTGACTTGTTGCCCACCCACACCTCCCAGTAGTGGCGCCCGGAGATGAAGCCCCGCGATCCCAGCACATTCAGGTAGGTGTCGAACCGTTCCGGCTTGGGCGCTAAAGCCCTTCTCGTCCCGCCCGTCTTCGCCGTGGTGTTCCCGTTGGATAGGATGAGGTGCGGATTGGCAGTGTCGGGATCAAAGGTCACGGGGAGCGGAGCTGGGAAGGAAGCAGTCGCCGTCAGTGCCGACATCGTGGCATAAAATGTGAAATGGGTTCAGTGTCTCATGAGCGGTTGTATCTGCTGATTCTAATTAGGAGCAGGGCTTTTCATCTCTGGTTACAGGTAACTGGATTTCTTCTTGGGGGCAGAAAGCAATCGATTCAAGAGGCGACAGAGTAATTGAGCTCAACTGAAAGGAAAACAGGAAAACACTGGGATCCTAAATCCTTGGATTGAAAAGCCCTATTTCACAGCATGAAGTTCTTGCAATGCACTCTACATCTGAACTTGAGCACAACAGATAACATAATGTTTAATTGTTGGTGGGACTGAGCTGAACAAAGTGGATGTTCTTTCGTAGTCCGATCTGAGCAGTGGGTTCGTGGTTAAGTGGTAAAGTCAAGGTATGTTCATTGCAAACCCCCAAGCTTCTGCTCAGGGACTGAGAAAAAGAAGGAAGAAAAAAGACAAGAAAAAAAAGAGGAAAAGAGAAGAGATACAGTTCCTACACAAACACAGACCCAGGACAGTTGTATACCTGGTGTAAGGATGTCTTTCATCTTCTTCCAGACAGCATACTGCAGTGGCCCCACGTACTCCTCAGACGAAAGGCTGATGTATTCGTCTGCTGGTTTCTGGAAGGTCAGGTCCTTCCTGTGGGAGGAAGGAACAAGCAATACAGAGATCATCCCACTCCCTTTCCCTATACATTTCCTGCAGTAGGCTGCTGCCGTAGGTATTGAGCACCGCCAACATACGCCACTACTCCCCTCCCTCTTCAAGGCTGAACGTGAGCGCGCAAGGAAGGGGGAAGCATTTCGGCGTTGCACAAGCCTCAGTGCAGCTTTGTTCCAAGAGGCTGGAAGACAAAAATAGCTCTTGGACAATAATACGGATAAGATCACAACAGTGGTACAGAGGACTGTAGAATGTAATGCAGTATTAAGAATCACGATCAAGGTGTTGTAGGACATGAATTTCAAGAAAGACCACTCACCTACTCAAGAGATCTTTCAAATCCTACAAAGAAAAAAGAAAAATAAATACGAAATATTTGGACAGATAGATGCACTGCGGTGGTTCAGGGAAGCTAAAAAGTGATAGCTATCATTTCCACCCGTAACAAAAGAATACGTAGTGTGTTTTACAGGTTTCATCACTCTTCTGAAACAATGTGAAAGAAACTCTTTCATCAAAGTCACACCTTTGCATTTTCTATTACACAACTTATTGTGTTATTTTATAAGGAATTTTTCTTTTCTTTAAAAAATCCGGAACCATTCTGAGCCATGAACCAAATGCAGCTGCACTGGGTCTTCACTCATTAAGAAAGATCATTTATCTTTTATAGTGAATTAAATTCTTCATTTGATAATACTGTATTGTTTCTTGCTGCATTGACTCCACCAGCTCCTGTAAACAGGTCTAAAAGAGGTTTAAAAAGAGTATTTGTAAGTTCAGTTCTCATAAATACTCAAAAGATTCTCAGCTTGATTATATTTTTACATGTTGATATCCACCCATTTTCTAACCTCCTTATCCAATACAGGGTCATGCCTATAGCAGTGTGGTACACCCTGGATGAGACGCCAGTCTATCGCAGGGCACACATACAGAGACCAGGGCCAAATTGCCCAGAAGCTAATCAACCTGTATGTTTCATGACAGTGGGAGAAAACCTGAGCACCTGGATGAAACTCACACAAACACAGGGAGAACAGACGAACTCCACACAGGTATCACCCCGGCAATTGAACCCAGGATCCCAGCACTGGGAGGCAGCAATGCTGACCACAAGTATCCAATAGATAATATGCGAATAAAATAATACAAATATAAAAAATAATGTCTAATTCTTTGGTATTGTAACCCCCAGATATTTGTTACTTCAGAGCATGTTTAGCAGTGATCGGAGTGCGTTGGGATATGTCGGGGGGATATTGAACGGAAAACACTGAAAAAAAGGCAAGTGTTTCTAAAACTGAGAACAGGAGGCACTTTCTACACAAAGGGTTGTGGGGGTATGGAACAAGCTACCCAGTCACATGTTTCAGGCTGATACCCTGGCTTCCTTCACTTAAAGGTGTCTTTACGTCACAGGTGCTCAGTGTGATCCTGCAGTGCTCCAGGAAGATGCTGCTTCCACTATAATGAGTGAGTTTCACACACCTCAATACCACAATGTTACACCAAGTGTACTGGCAACGCTGTCAAAGTCCAAACCCCTGCTGCTTTCAAGAAATGGCTGGATGATATTGCTTACACTTATATAGTGTTTTTCTGGACACTCCACTCAGAGCGCTTTAAAGGTAATGGGCAATCCCCACCACCAATGTGCAGCCCCACCTGGATGATGCGACGGCAGCCATAGTGCGCCAGAACGCTCACCACACGTCAGCTATCAGTGGGGAGGAGAACAGAGTGATGAAGCCAGTTCAGAGATGGAGTATTATTAGGAGGCCTTGATTGGTAAAGGCCAGGAGGAAATTTTGCCAGGACGCCAGGGTTACACCTCTATTCTTTTTGAGAAACACCCTGGGATTTTTAATGACCACAGAGAGTCAGGACCTCGGTTTTATGTCCTGTCTGAAGGATGGCACCTTTTTACAGTTTAGTGTCCCCATCACTAAACTAGGGCATTAGGACCCACATAAGACCGCAGGGTGAGCGCCCCCTACTGGATCCACTAACACCACTTCCAGCAGCAACCTTAGCTTTCCCAGGAGCTCACCCATCCAGGTACTGACCAGCCTCACACCTGCTGAGCTTCAGTGGGCTGCCAGCTGTGAGTTGCTACCAAACCAGTCCGACGGACCGAATGCGCTCCTCTCCTTTGCATAAATTCCTATGTACTAAGGCTCCTGTCCGTTTAACACCGGTCGGAAGAGTTCCGGACGGTACAAGCCGGGGTCTGACCTCTATCGCGGCTGGGTCGTCATGCAGGGCCAGTTGGTCTTTCAGGAGCTCCTTGGCTTGCAGCAGCCGGCATTTTTCCGCTTCGCTGCGGGTCCTGTTGCGCTCCAGCGCTTTCCGTTTCTCCTCTTCGGCGTGCCGAAGTTTAGCTTTCGCCGCCGCCTCCTCTCGGTCTAGGAACCGGTGGAGCTCGGCAAACTCCGCCTCTATCGTCTTCTCTATGGACTCTCTGTCATCCTGCAGTGCAGGTATTATACCATTAATTAGATGTTATATTAGAAACAGAGTTTTCAGCACTGCGCTTTAACCCATCTTGCGCTCGTTGCTTGCCGGGATAAGCTCCAGCTCCCCCCGCGATCTGATCACAGCTGGCCGGTGACTCCACCCAGATGTGTCCAGAAGCTATTATAACACAATGAGCTAAAACACTGGCATAGTTGTCTTCATGCTCTTAGTTTTAAAGTACACCTCCAACTCCAAAAATGACGGGTGTCTCCTAGTGTTGGGCTGTGATCTAGCCATTATGAGAAATCCACTTCTTCCTGGCAAGGAATCTGACAGCCTGGAGGCTATCCAGAAAAAAACAGGGTGCAAGGTGGGATACATTTTGGATGGGGCACCCGTCATTACAAGGCGCTCGCGTACACGCACGCGGGGACGGGAATTAACTAAGCCGACACGCATCTGGGAGGTCGAGGAAACCGGAGCACGCTGGGAAAACCCATGTCAACACAATGGAGCATGCAAACGCCATACAGCAGGTACCTCAAGCCAAATTTGGACCCAATAATGACGCATCAGTCCTGACCACCTGTACCATCTGCAATAATTGTACAATTAAATTCACAGCCTGATGACTCTGGGGTTTGCAACCGAGGCTTCCCCAAGAGAGACAAGGTAGGAATCTCGTAAAACGAAAGGGTTCAGAATTACCTTCAGAACGGCGCTCATGTCCTCCGCTGTTTGCAGAGACCGCGACGCCTTTTTCACCTCTTTCCGGATTTGCTGTAAGAAGCCTCCCAGTTTCTCCTGTGAGTGAAAGCATCGGGAAAGCAACAGCGGAAATAACAGTCGTTATTTTTTTTTTAATTTGTAAAAAAAAGATTCTCTGTTAACACACCGGTCTGTTTAGGGGAGAGATATCTCACAATGCAAACGCCTGGCTGCCAAGAGTGAGTTTTGAGTCTTCTAATTAAATCTGTCACCATGGGGAAATATTAGGACCTCTTACACAAATCCCAGTTTATTGCCTATCTTCAAAGTTCCACAATTCACGAGGAGTGACAGCAGCCGAAAGCTTGGGAGAAATTAGAATCGTTTATTGTGATGTGGAGATTCGGCGTAACCCGCTTGGCTGAGGGCCAACGTCCCGGCCGTTGGACGGGGAAGATAGGACCTCCATGCGACCAATGGGGTAGCTGCAAAGGTGGAGGAGGGATGCAGAAAACGAACGAGGAAGAGGAGAGGGTGACGTTTGATATTTATGGATTAGTCAGGATTAGTGAGAATTGCAGCAGCTGTGTCGAATGAGCGCGGCTGCCTTCATTCCTCCCGAACTTTCATTAAAAAACTCAATTTATATGGACAAACCATTTTCTGTGTTCCATCTCATTATCATGTCAGACGTATCTTTCCTGGAGAGCGCGAAGCAATTTGCTCTGGTAAAAAGCAGGGAGTTGCGCATCTGCCCCCCGTCTCTCAGTGTGTGACTCACTCTGTATTTCCCTAAGACCTCATCCAGCGGGGCCAGGCTGTGGGACTGGTGCAGCTGGGAGCTTCCGCACGCCACGCAGATGGCTTTCCCATCCTCTTGGCAAAAGAGCTTCAGTTTCTGCCCGTGTTCCTCGCAGTACTGCTCCCTTTTTCTTTTCCCAGTCGCTTCCCTCCGATCTCCCATCATCTCCCTCACCGTCTCGGCTACGCTGCCCAAGAGGGGGGCGTCCTGAACGACTTCATCCACGGCTCCTCTGCCGCAGAGCGGGCACCGAGCGCTCTCCCCGGGTCCCTCCCAGCAGCGACCGACACACTCCTGGCAAAAGTGATGTCCGCATTCCCGCAGAACCGGGCTTCTGAACAGGTCTAGGCAGAGCGGACAGGTAAGGTCCTCACGGAGTCTGCTCAGCTCGTCTACGGCCGAATCCATGCTGGACCGGAGGGGATACTGTCGTGCCAGTGGAAGAGCGATCTTTGAGTTTCGGTTTTGTGCTAGGGAGTGGCTGAAAACCATCCACTGAGCTTTTCGAACTGTTTTCGTCTTGTGCCAGCCGTATGACTAACTGTGCGTGCTTTCCGTGTAAGTACACGCCCTTTGAATTTAAGAAGCGCTTGAGAGCCTTCAAATTTGAAGCTACTTAACCTTTTAAAAATTTTAAATGAACAGTGGGAATATAATATTTGCACGTGTCAAACGTCTGAAATGAATCGTGGAAACAATGCCGCTAACCAAGCACAGACTAAATCTGATTTATTTTCCAGTTAAAATATGCAGTTGAAATGTAAAAAACGCAGACTTGAATATATCGCAGAGTGCAAGATCTGGAAATCTTGGACACAATCGAGAATTAGAATACGTGTACGTTATGGGAATCGGCAATTTGCTCAAAACCTCTACAGGTGTTTTCTGCTATTATAACGACGTTTACTGTTCTTAATTCACTTTGATCAGGATCTTCGAAACACATCATGGCCACACCTCAAGCTACACCTTAGCAATTGGCACCATCATCACTGGCTTCTGGGTGTCACAGTGGTGCAGTGGTCTGCAGTGCTGCCAGGGGCCCAGGGTTCAAATCCAGGGGTGTTGTCTGTGTGGAGTTTGTATGTTCTCCCTGTGTTTGTGTGGGTGTCCTCTGGATGTTCTGGTTTCCTCCCACAGTCTGAAGACATACAGTACTGGTAGATTAATTGGCTTCAGTCAATACTGGCCCTGGTATGAGTGTGTGTGTTTGTGTGTGCCCTGCGATGGACTGGCATCCCATCCAGGGTGTATCCCGCCTTGTGTTTGTTGCTTTCTGGGATATGGTAGGCATCTCCGCAGCCTTGAATTGGATTAAGTGGTGAGAAAGTGGTGTTATGGATGGATCACTGGTTTCTCTCTGCACAGCCAGAAAGCTAAATGTCTAGTTGTTGCACTGCAAAATAGAGATCTATTAGGCTTAAACATTCACTCAAATCAAATAGCTGGTTTACTGGCTTCTCCGTATCATTATAGAACTGTTTCTACATAAAGAACTAGAAGAGCAGCACAACATAAAATGTCTAAGGCATAAGCACAGCAGTGTGCATTTGCTGTGGATAAATTATGACCATTTGACAGATAAATCCAGTAACCTCACCAATGGCTCAACCAGTAAAGGAGCTCATCTGAGCGTAGACTGAGCACCACGATCGCGGGTTGGAGCCTGTGCTGACTAGTCCACTGTGACTGGGATTCCCCAAGCAGTGGTGAACAACTGGCTGAGCGCCACCTAAACTAGGGTGAGGGACATGCTTCTCCTCCTGTTGGAGCTGAATGTCTGGTTCAGAGCTGCGTTGCCATTGATCTGTTAAGAGATCAGTAGCTTTGAAGGTGGGTCAACCATTAAAGGAATCTTAATTGATCACAGACCTGGGACTGGTGGTGGAAGTGAGCAGAGCAGGTGCTTTATTGACAGAAATCGAGCTGCATTCAGTCATTTGTTGTTACATCAAGCATGCCTTGAACAAAATATCCAGGCAGGTTGGTTAAGTTTGTTCTGGAATCTATTATGTTTAATCTTTTAAGAAGTGGTTGGGTGACTTCCTTGCACCATTTGGCAGTCGTCCTAGACTCAGCTGACCAAACGCACATATTAAAATTGAGGGTTGATGATTTTCAGGGGTTTTGTAGTTTCAAGGTGTTCGGTGAAACCAGGATTGAACAGCGGATAGATTGTTTCCTGAAAATGGTTGGAAAATGCGTAGAGCAGGGTCATGCCTTCAGCATTATAAAAAACAAGCTTCCCCTCGTCGTAGTCTAGGTACACCCCAACCTTGCACAGCCGAGTTTTCACACACAGCTGAACGACCGTTTGGTTACACGCCTCATAGCTCCCGCTGTTCCACCGCAGGGTCCACACTTTCCGGGGAAGGGCCGTCTTATACAACCCCTTTCTGTCCACAGACGCTCCGATGACCCCCAGCTCCCACTGCGTCTTCCCATCCACCCACACCTCCCAGTAGTGCCTCCCAGAGTCGAAGCCCTGGGACCCCAGGACGTCCAGATAGTGTTCACAGCGGTCCGGGTGTGCAGGGACGTCTGTCTTGACGCCAGCACTCCTCACGCTGGTGTTCCCGTCTGACAAAAGCAGGCAGGGATGGGCAGTGTCAGGATCCAACGTCACAGGATGCAATCCTGGGGAAACACCAGGTCGAAGACGGATAGGAAGACCAAAACTGAGGTCAGCATATTCAGTGATATTTAATGTAGGGCTGCAAGGAGGTCAAATTCTAATTTTGCACTTCTGCTGCCACACATCTTTACCAGCTTCCCTCCCTCCACCTCAACTTCACCTTTGCAGCTGCCTCTCTGGTTCATTCCTGCTATGTTTTGACAACGCTGATCTCCGACCTGCACTGCTATTGCCTCAGCCAGGCTAGTTACCTCTAAAGCATTAAGCATACCCTCCCTTTATATTCATCTCCTTGTTTAGTTCATTAGAATTTCACATTCATCATTTTAAGAGATGACATTATAACCCCAAAACCACTGAATGCAAATATGGCCTGCTGGGATTTGAAAACATTTATGAACTTTGAATCTTTGTTTCAAAGCAGAGGAAGGGCAGACTTTGAAGACTTTCTGTGAGCAATGACAAGAGACTACAGATTCGAGGTGGGCACTGGTCAGAGCTCATTTTTCAAAGAATCAGATTTGAGTAGTGGCCTACAAATAAGGGAATATATGGGCCTACAATATATTTTTACACAATAATACAAATTCAGGCCACGAATGGTTAAACAGTGGTGGTGTACTATACCTGGAGAAATCAGTTCTTTCACCCTCATCCACACTTTGTACTGGAGTGGACCCACATGCTCCTCTGCCAATAGACCGAGTGACGAATTTAAAGGTTTCTTGAAAGTCCAGTCATTTCTAGAGACACAAAAAGACACTGACAAGGTTTTACAAGGACGGAGATGGTTTTCTTTCCAATAAGCAGTGCAGTTACTACAAGGCTGAGTGTGAAGAGAACAGGCACATGGTAAGGATGAGCAGTGGGAGTACAAAGGGCCGGCCATGGGCGTACATTTCAATAATGTCTTGACACAGTCAGCACGATACTGATCTTGCCATATGGTGTCAAGCCTGGGACAGACCTAGGCTTTGAGCCTTAGAGGACTGAGTAAAACATGTTCCTGGCTCTCCAATTACCTTAGAACTTTTTAAAAAAAGATTATTATTTTGCTTCTGTTGGATCATAAAGATAAAAATTACTATCAATTACTATCCCTAGTGGCCCAGCCAGTATAGGCTCTCACTCCAAGCGCAGGTGATGCACTTTCGAACCTAAGTCAGGGATTCCCCAGGTGTACAATGGGATCAGGGCTGCCAGGGCACTGAGCTGGGATTAACTGGTGAGGCTCCTCACCCAACATTGCAGGTTCAATGATGGGCATGCTTTATCCCTGACTAGTCCTGAGCCAAACTGTGCATTATTACTGCTGGACCTGAAGCATTTCAGAACATACAGGAGGCACATCCAGGGACCAAAAGTGCTACATTTACATGTTCTGTCTAAGGACAAACATCCATTGCAAACACTATCACTTTAAATACTATAAATGTTTGAAACACCTCTGAATACACCAAAATAAATAAGGCAAACCAGAATGCATTAGAAACATCCTGTATGAAGTAACACCTGGATCAGGTGGAAGTATGACTTTCTGAAGATTTGTGGACAGCAGGTGATGTAATATTGAGCAACCATGTCAACAAGCAAGACAGTAACATCTGCAAAATGTAGATAGATCTAACAACTGCACTAAAAGTTTTCACTGGTATAACAGAGGTTCCCAAAACACAACCTCTCACCTGTTCAGAAGGGCTTTAACTTCCTGCAAAGAAACAAATAAATGAAATAAAGTCACTTTTAATTGTACAGTACTCGGTGTTTTAAATGTTTAAATTCATCTTTAATTTAAACACTTTCTTACTGAAATAACTTCAAATCATGCTACAGCCAGGAACAGACATTATTTGTTGTTTGAACAAACTCTCAGTGAGGAGCAAACAGCCGAGTCTGTTTAAATAAGAATGATAAGCATGTGACCAGTACAAGTTAAAAATTGTACTACAACATAGAAGCAATCACCTACAAAAACTGTTTTTTTTTTTAATTAAAATGTCAGAGACATTGCCAACAGAGGCTTTTCATTATTTTAGTTACGGATTAATCTGTTTAACATCACAATGACAGGAGAATGTTGTGGAAACATTATCTGGAGTCAGAACATTAATGATGAGCCTATAAATAAAATCTAAAATCGAACATCCCTAACAGAAGAACAGGTGTTCTAAGCACTGTGTGTGCCACAATGTAGTAGGGCTGGAACCTCCAACATCACAGTGTTCCATATACAGAAACAACATCCTTCCATCCAGTTCCTAACTGCTACATCCAATTGAGGGATACAGGGGAGCCAGAGCCTATTCCGCCATGCAATGGGCACAAGGTGGGGTACACCATGGACAGGACACCAGTCCATCACGGGGCACACAGACAAACACACACACTCCTATTAGGGCTACATTTCCCTGAAGCCAATTACCATTCCAGTGTGTCTTTGGACTGTGGGAGGAAACCAATGTGCTCATGGGGAGAACATACAAACTCCACACAGACAGCACCCCAAATCTACAACTGAACACAGGACACCAGCGGTTTTGGGCAGCGAGCAAACCACTACACCACCCTGCCACCCCTGAAAAAAACACCCCTGAAACACCAGAGTCAACTAGAACACTTCGACACTGTAAGAAAGTCACTCTTCCTTGTAGTTTAAAATTCATTTTTGATGTGAAAATTGATTGTCCCCTAAAGTGGTGCTAATAATATTAAAATTGGGGCTTATTTAAATACTAGTAATATTTTGCACTGTGGATCACCAAGCTGGTGTATGTGTTGTGTGTGATGAAGAAGATGGGTGACACTGTAGTCTACAGGGGTGCACGGAAGAAGCACTGCCGGAATCCCCTCTGGACGATCCTGGCCACAGCACCGGCTGACCTTGACCGCGGCAGGGCTGTCACAGAGAGCGCGTTTCCCCTGCACGTCCCTGGCCGCTTCCTCTAACCGCATCACTTCCTGCTGCGCCTGGACCCGGCTCCTCTCCAGCTCGCTCCGCTTGAGCTCCTCATCCTCCCGAAGACGAGCCCTGAGGGCCTCCTCTTCCTGGTCCAAAAGCCGCCGGATCTGAGCGAACTCCGCGTCCATCTTCTCCCGAATCAGCCGCTGGTCCTCCTGGAAAAAGACCTCGGTCCATTCTCAAGGATCCCAGTCATCCCAGTCACAAACTGCTTTCTCTCCTACCGTCTGGTAAACGGTACCGAATCATTCGGTCCAAGTCCAACAGACTACGGACCAGTTTCTACCTCCAGGCATTAAGACTGCTAAACAGCCAACCTGCAGCTCCTTCAGCAAATCACCCATAAAGGCTACATGGACACACAGTTTTCATTGTATTCGGCATACTGCACTACTGGGACATAATATATTGCTTACACCCTGGACACATAGCAGCTCTATTTATATTGAGTTTTCTCAGTTTATTTAATTTAATTTCTATCGCATTATTATCTATTATTATGTAACCTTATTTCGTAACCTAATTTTGTGGTTTTTAATCCCTTCCACCCCCTAGCGAGCTCGTAGAAAAGACATTTCATTGCCAGCAACTGCTGCTGCATACTGTATTGTTGTGCATTTGATAAACTTTGATTGATTGCTTGATTGAAAGAAGGAATACCCTCCTATTCCATCCTGCTTTAGCAAAACTCCACATTCTTCAGAGTTCAGTTTATTTGTCAAAGCAGAAGTGCAATAGTGCAATGAACTGCTTACTTACATGTATGCCCTGATACAAAGAGATTAAGGAAACAGCAACTTAAACACAGGCCAACAGCAGCAACTACAGGAAAGTTAAATAACTCTCAAATGAAATTCAGCACAAGCAGTGTACAAAAATTCATCAGTACATAAAACAAAGATGCAAAATTGCAAGAATGCATCAGAGAGTCAATGGTAGAGGTAGAATTTAATCATCTGAAAGCTTGTGGGAACAAGCCCACTTTCTCACAATGTTCACAACAACCCTTTCACTTCCTGAAGGAATCCCTCAACCAGAGAATAAGATGCCTAGAGACAATAAGCACTGTGCTGCTGGTGCTGTAGTCCAGCTGTTTGACTAGTCCCCTGTATGTTTGTGAACACACGTCAGACTCAAACGGGAAGAGGCAAGGAATGAGACTGGGGGGAGAAAAGGAGCTCTTGTAGAGAGAAACCCAGGAACTGGAAGAGAAGTGTAAAAACTCGCAGAGTTACCTGAAGGGAGGCTATCCTCTGCTCTGTGTCACACTGGCACTGAACAGCCTCCTTCAGTTCTGTCTGGAGCAGCTGCCAGAGAGCCTGGGCCTTTTCCTGCAGAGGCAGTGGGATGAAATTCAGGACCAACTGCTTTTTGTGCCAAAGGTTAATTACATTAAGTAAATACATACAGTATGGTGATTATATTTACATTCTGTATTCTAGTTTGACACAGGACTGAGTGGTATGCTACGAATGGGTAGAAATAGCTACAGTATGATCAATAATCATCATGTATCCAATATCCACTTTTAGGCTATGATCGCAGACTAGGCATGTGCAATGCCTTACTGTAGTAAATCTGGGCCAGTTGAGCACAGCAGGTAGAAGTAATAAAATAATAATCATTGGTGCACTGTGGTTTATTAAAACATTTTAAACCCTTGATTTATCTCTCTGCTCAGGCATTTGAAGAACTTCATTAAGGCCCCCCATGAGTGCTACCTCTGACCCCGTCAAACCATTACACCGCCTAAACCGGCGATTGGCATGCAAACACAAGCGCCGCGCTTCACACAAAAACCGGCTGGTGAGTAGCTTGAAGAAGTCATTCATTAGGACAGAAATGGCTAAAACAGTGTCCAAGTACATATTTGAATTAGTCCAAGTTTGGGTGTGTGCTGGGAAGGGGGGTCAACAGCTCTAGGGTGCCTTACCGTGTACTGCCGCAGGGCACAGTCCAGTGCGGTCTTGGCGTGAGACCGGTGGCGCTGGGAACAGGCGCAGACGAAACAGATCGCCTCTCCATCCTCCTGGCAGAAGAGCTCCAGCCTCTCATCGTGCAGCGCGCAGTAGCTCTCCCTCTTTCTCTTCGCCGCCGCGTCTCTCTTCGCCGCCAGCTCTCTCACTCTTCCGACGATACTGCCCAGCAGCGGGGCATCCTGGGCAACTTTATGCGCCGCGGTCCTCCCGCAGAGCGGGCACCGAGCGCTCTCCTCGGGTCCCTCCCAGCGGCTACGGATACACTCCCTGCAGAAGTGGTGTCCGCATTCCAGCAGGACCGGGGCCTTGAGGAGGTCAGAACAGACCGGACAGCTCAGATCCCTGCGGAGTTTCTCCATCTGGTCTTCCGAACAATCCATCCCGCCCAGCTGGGTCGGCGTTGATCTCAGAGCCGCCGCAGCGAAAGCGCAAAAAAAAATGATTTAAGTTTCGGTTCTTGGTGTATTGGGAGTGTCTACAAATCATCCTCTGCGCCTCCCTCTGAAGTTTTCAGCGTATCTGAGGTGCCAACCGTGTCTCTAATAATTGCGCAGGTTTGCCATTGCGTCTACACAGCATTCAGATGAATGTTTTGCTGATTTTTCTGCTACTTTACTTTTCTTAAGGTTTCCTTCTTTGACCTCGGGGGCTTGTTTCTGCTGAGCGCTAAAATGCTTGAAAATGACGCGGGAGAAGATTTTATCTCAGGAACAGTATTTCTATGCATCTCGCCCGATACAATGTTCCTAAGGTTTAAATCTGACAAGTGGTTTTGCTCTTTGTCCCCCCTGCATTTGGCTGTCGTGAGAAACATGCTTTTAAAATGTTGCTTAACCACTGTCAAGGCTTTGACTGCTGCATAAGGATCTCATTAGTGAGAGAGGTGACTGGGCACAGGTGAATTGATGATTTAACTCACCGCTGATGAAAATCAAAAAGGATTCCCCCAACACAGCTCTATGAGACCTTAGTGTTTCCACTGAGCTGAGTTAGGTTAGTGTCCACAGGAAGAGGGTCAGACGCTTGGCACAAGTGTCATCATGCTAGGACTATATAAAAAGACCACAATGAGGTCACACTGTGCCCTATTTTAGGCCAGGAAGCTACACAGTGCCTTTGGGTATCATATTCTTCTTGTACTTATCAGCAAGGACGAACCTCAACACACATTCAGCTCTGTGCTCAGAAGCAACCAGAAGTCTGAATACTAACAAATAACTAATAACTGAAGTGCTGGTTTTATGTGGTTCTGTTTCTGCTTGAGCTCCTCTGAAACTGATACATGTGCTGGCTCTTCAGACAGAGCTGGTCCCTTTATTTCAATGGCAACTATGGTCTTCAGTACAGATCAATATTGGCACTGGTGCAGAACATCCAGAATATGGAGCTATCAGCCATAGTAATGGCCATCTGTGCAGCTCAGCCCTTCCTGTCGGTCCAGAGTAGTGATGGGTTTCTTCTGGTGTCTCATTAGTTAAGCATTTCATTTATGGTCTCAAAGGCACACGCTACAAGCCTTGCATTAAGTCCCATTCCTCCATTATATAATATTATTATTTTCAAAATACTTTTTACAGTGACAGTTCTTTCTGATTTCATTGTTGCAAACTGATGGATGGGACTGTTGAAGCTTTCAAGAGAAATTGCTGCTTAGGAAGTCTGAGTTCCTCCAGCAGGTGTTCTGCTCTGCTGCCAGTAGGGGGCAGCAGTGACTGTTGACTTCTAGTAACAGTGAAGCAAGACCACCTGAGTGTGTGTGCTGAGGAATCTCTGAGGGCCAGTACAGTGTGTTACACTCGTGATTTGGTTCACAACGGATCTCTAGTGCCCTGCTACTGAAACATGCTTACTCTTTCCTTGGGATTGATTGCTTTGTCCTTGGGCCCACAACACTGGGAGACTGGTTAAGACAAGGCAGGCTCTGAAACTCAATTTTTCCTGAAATGATTCTGAAAGCAATTCAATTTAGAAAGCATAGCAATACGTTGAAGGCAAGCAGGTCAAACAATGATGACTAAAGAGCAGATCCAGTGAATGCTTGGAGGATCTGAGGACAGAAAGGGTCTGTGCGAGTCTGGAACCGTGGTGGAACGGAAAGCACAATCAACAGTAACTGTGAATCACGGAAAACTTTCACAAGCAAAAATGAATTAAACTGAGTTTTTGAAAAAGCATTTTTATACAGAGGAAGTGCATTAAGGTTGTAACTATTGTATTGAAGTGAATTATTATTATAAAAAAGTGGCATGTCATTAATTAAGAAGTGACACCAATAAAGGTGTAAGAGCATGCAGGAAGGTGATATGTTTTCTTTTTAGTGCAAATTTAAAACCTAAAGGCCTTGCAGGTTTATGAGACCAGATGACAGCCCAGCTGTGTGAAATGCAGCCGACACATATAATTACAGAGGACGAGGCAGAGGTTAATTCTGCACTGAGATGTAAAAAGAAAAACATACTGGCCTTTGAATATGGAGCTTTCCTCAAATGTACCTAACACCCTGACCTCCACTATAATTACAATACAATGAACTGTTTCACGGTCATACCAAACCAGTATAAGAGCCAGAATATCATAGTTCTGCAGCAGGAGATCATTAGATTTCTCCAATGAGAAAATACATCAGCAGGTGGGACACAGCATGCAGTTAGTTTAGGTAGGACAGGGCATTGAAGAAGGAGTTATCTTTTAATGGTTGCTACCTTTATGTAATATAAATCTTTTGTATTTCAACATGTTACGCTGCTTTGAGGAAAGCCACCTGCTTCTCTGAAGTCTGGCTTTTTGAGGACCAACTCTCAAGATTCATTCACTGATTCAGGAAAATGTACTTCCTTTTCCTAAACATCCTGACCTTACAAGACGACATCTTCACCACTACAACTTCACACGTTGTTAAGGGATGTTTTAGACCCTGAATCTAGTGAAGAATCCAGACAGCCCTGGGATTGGAAGAGCATGTGTTAAATGGTTAAATGGATTCAACTACGGGTAAGGAAGTGATAGCGATAGTAGTGATTGTTGAGCTGAGCTGGGCTAGAGTGTAATTTGACAAGCTGCCCAGTGGGTGTCCCTCTTTGCCGAACACTGCAGCCTGATTGAAATTATTGGACACTTTTTAAAACTTCGGGAAGTCTCAACCACTTAATTTAACTTCCCAGTAACTCCCTTCTCCCCACTGTTAGCTCTATATTGATATAATAGATTACATCCAGCTTTAGCCAACCAGGTAGAATATATACTGCACTCTATTTACAGATCCTTTTTCTTATTTGTTTTTTGGCTGATGCCTGTGTCAATATAGACGTACAGAAGTGGGTAGAAGCAGACAATACTGCATACAAGGAATACAATTTGGATCACCACATATGCCGTCCATACAAGTCTCTTCTCTATGCACTACAATGACTTTAAATTGCCAGGTGTGTTTTAGGAATTCAAATCCACATCATATCTTTCCTGTGCTTGGCTGTGTAGTAGTGATGAACGGGTTGGCTTTTTTTTTACCCGCTCAAAAATCTTTTTTTTTTTAACCTGAGCATCACTACTGTACAGTATTAATATTAGAATCATAACAAAGATCAGAATTTCTTTTTTTCTTGTTTGCTTGGGCAGCTAACCCAAGGTGGAATCCCAGTCAGATACAGTATTTCTTGAAAGACTCCATTAACACGTTGTGAGTTGCCATTCAAGTACTGTATTTCATAAGTGTGAAAGTGTCGGTAGAGTTAAGGAGGCTGCCTGAGCACCGGCAGAGCGCGTGTTGTCTTCCCTGCAGTGTGCCAGTGTGTAGTCGTCTGCAGAGATTTTGGTTCTCTGGTACAGGAGAGAAATCTTTCTCCAAGTGGAGAAATTAGTTTGTGTCACCGGTGAGGGGAACACATTCGGTTCTGCCGTGAACGCCGTCTGAGGGCGCGTGGGGATCTTAAATTGTAGCGCTGATTGGCGTCAGGTGTGGAAGCTGCACATTCCCACGCGCCGCTGAGTAGGAAGTGCAGTGGGAGGTGTGTTCCACTGTCACATACTGTAAGCAACAAATGTTCAAACCTTTAAAAAAAAAGACTTGCAGATGCTCCATCTAAGCAACTTATTAGTTAGTAAGTGATTAGGGTTGGCTGGAATGAAACTCCACAGGTGTGTGGGGCTCCAGGACCAGCATTTGGAACCACCAGCTAGGCTCCTAACAACCTCATTGGGCTCATTACTGGCTCAACTGGACCCGTTTAGCAGCTCTTCAGTCTCTGTGGCTTTAGAGAGAGCTGGAAACACTTGCAGACACACCAGCCCTCCAGAACCAGGACTGGACACCCTTGAGGAGAGACAGTAGGGGGTCATCAGGACCAGTACACCAGGACTGGACACCCCTGAATAGAGACAGTCGGGGGTCAACTGGGCCAGTTCACCAGCTTCTCCCAGCTCCTCAGATGTTGTGGCAGGGGGAAGGTGGCCTGATAAAAGCTGGGGCCTCACCGGCTGGATTCAAAGCCCATAGCTGTGATGAAGACGTTGACGAGTACAGTGAAGAACACCAACACTGTGGAAGCGTCGTTCATGAGGTTCAGCTTCGGCTGCTTCCTCACATCGTTGAGGTCGTACCTTACTGGAGATGGACAGAAAGGGCAAAGGTCAGAGGCCAATGACACTGCAAAAGCAAATCTTTACAAAGACAATGAGACCACACTGGGTTTATGAGCTGCAGATACTTATACAAGCTGACACCTCTTGCACTGTACAGTCTCAATCATGTATCCTAATGAGTTCCCTTGAGTATATATTTCACATGTAGATCTAGAACAACAAATCATTTAACCAGGGATTTCACTTACAGTATTTACCCTATTTCAGACTGTCAGCATTCAAACTATTAAGCATTAGACCAATACCTTTAATGTTCTAAAGATACAAGTTCCAGATGTTTTATAGGGCATGTGCAACTTGTAATACCTAAGAGTGACATCGGGTGACTGGACATTTCATAATCCCAAATGCCTGGGGTGTGGGCTGTATTTAAACACAGCAGGGTTGTAACCCTGAAAAAAAATTAAACCTCGTACCCTGCGCATTGTCTGTATTTTCTCCCAGAGACGTGATAACTTGATAATCGGTTCCAACGGAAGTTGGATGTGACCATGGTCAGTTTTGTTGTTGCGTGCTGGAGAGATGGTGGCTGACAAGTCTACACTTCCAGTCATACACGAGGAGACCCTTCCCGTTATCCTCACCTAGGAAAATGAGCAGGAGGCCGACGGTGATCTGCAGAAGCATTGACAAGGAGATGAGGACAACCAGAGGGTAGTAGTATTGGTAATCTGGCCCCTCCTGGAGCACAGTCTTGAGCTGAGATGAGTTGGCCATCAGCAGAGCTATATCCAGCATGCTTTGCGCTGCACTCTTCTTTGTAGCATAATGGTTCATATTGATTGGTTTTCTGAGACCTTCTGTCTGGTTGTTGTCCTGTCCACAGGAGGGGAACAAAGGGTTTAACAGGCAACCCAGTAGTATACAAACTTCAATATATGTTTCTACCTCCATTGAACTGAAGATTTCCATCCCATTACAATCCAAAACGTTTTGACGTGAATTTTCAATATGTGTAATGTGAAGGCTGCCCCAACTCTGCAAGCATCACTCCTCTTTTCTGTGTGCTGGGCAATATCATCGACCATTTTGTAGTTTTCAAAATCAATCATGTTTAGTGATTCAGGGCACTTCTCTTGATTTCTGAGTAGCACTAGAAACCACCTTGGTGCAAGGTTAAGGCGATACTGACTCAAAAAAAGAATTATACAAGTGAAGGCAAATTGTAACCCGGTATTGCACAATACTTTTAGTTCAGTCTTTCCAGGGTGGAAACTATAAAAAAATGCAGATATTATTTCCTTATTCTAACATGTGCTTCCTTCTTTTAAAAGTGGAATGTATTTAGAACTTTTCAGAAATAAAATTGCAACACAAAGTTTTTGACTGGGCTTTAGTAATCCTAATTCTCCAAAAACACTCTTCTGCTCTAAAAACACGTGATCTACCGATGATGACTGACATTGCCGTTTCCTGTGAAGAAAGCAGATTTGTTTGTTTCGCTTGGAAGAAATGTGTTCCAATCTCGTGAGAGAGAGCCCCAACAAAAAGCAGTGTTTTTGCAATCTGCCCATTTCTGTTTTTGCTGTGGAGGTGCCCTATCAGTTCTGCGTGACTTTCTCTCATGGCTTCTGTCCTTGGCATTCATACTGTCGAAACAATCTGGCAGAGCTTCACTGATAAGCGTGGCTACAATGCCTGGATTAAAAAAGTACACAAGTACAAGTATTGCCTTCTTGCTGGTTTACTTCTGGACAGACCTTGTTTTAAAATCCAGGGCTCCGTGGAGTGATTCAGGCTCCTGTCGGGTTCACACTAGAAGAGGGGTCTCTAACCACGAACAGGGGTCTCGGTCCCGCAGAGACTCGATTCAGCATGTTTTACAGACCCCCCTTAAATCACCGTTCTTCACGGACCTGGAACAGTTACACTGCAGCCCCGAGAGATCAGACTTTTCCTAATTAAGCACAGTACGTAATGGTGGCCTATTGAACTAACCAGACTGGGGGCTGTATCAGGGTTCAACACCTCTGCACTACATTGTGCTGCTTTTGTTACAATGTGCCAGATACAAGGCAACCTGGCGAGTGAAGCTGTAGAGTACATTCGCTATTATTCATGCGAGGAGTGGTCAGCTCTGGTCCTGGAGAGCCACAGCCCAGCAGGTTGGACAGGTCACCTGTTTCTTAAGATTACAAATACCTATAAATTATTAATCAATTAAGTAAATAGTGCATTCAATTGATAAGAGCAGAGGAGTAAGAGAACACTGATCCTTAAGGGTGCTTTGGTCCACAGGGAAGTAATGACAAATCATGATTTTTGAAATACTTAAAATTGACAATCATCTTAAGTACATTTATATGAAATTTAGTTAATTTATGGCCACCTGAATACGGCGATCCTGTCTGTGCCTTTATTGTTTGCTTTTTTTACTTTTCAGTGTGAAATCGATATCTGCTTGATCCTGGGCTGCTGACTTGCTGCCACTTAATGATTTATCTACGGATTTTGACACCCCAGATCTGTACTGTACATTGAATTTGCACAGTTTATAATGCAGGGAACCCCAGTTCTGGTCCTGAAGTGACAAGGTGACAGGGTGGGAACCCCTGGTCTCCCCCTGGACTCCTGGAGATCCCACAATGGAAGTCCTTCAAAGGCGCATTCCAACCTCATTGTAAAGCGCAATATTGTGTTCGCTGGGAATGACGTGGCGGTGCGGCAGGCAGTGAATGGGAGGTGTGGTACTGTACCATTATAATCCCTGTTTGCTCAGAAAAGTAAACAATTATAGGCATGTGAAACGAACTATCTGAAAGAAAAGAGATTTATTTTAAGGAGTCGGTTAAAACATCGCATCAGCCTTTAACATGATTTTGCTAGTGTATGGTTACATATTTAAATTTGCGTGCAGCAAAGTACTTAAAATGGGAACGTCAGGATTTGGCCTGGTAATTCATTTTATGCACATCACTGGTGTTATGTCGATACCTCTCCTATCGTTATTTTAACATCTCGGAGTTTTAGTGAAAGTGCTCCTCGCACATACAGTACTTCACTCCAGGGTAGAACGAAGCACATCTGAATTGTTTTCTGGAAACGGGAACCTCGAAACCAAAAGAAATCTTCTCAAATACGCAAAACGTGATGAATATCGAAAAAGTTTTTGTCTTACGTGGTTAAACAACTTCCCATCCGGTTCCACCTTGTGAAAAATAGTAATTTCATGAATAAAGTAATAAATGAAAGCTTTTGCCCAATTATAGCGAAGAACTGTAACGAATACAAAACTTAAAATAGATGCTTGAGAACAAAACACAACGTTATTATAGAATCACAGAGGGTGTATATAAAGCCCAGTGCTCACAGGGGATCGTTAAAGCCAAAACTCTTTACATTTATTCATGGTGTCTGAGGTGTTGCACTCGTACTTGCCATAAACTAAACTGGTTAAGAAACAATAATTTTCGCGACATAACTTTTATGTCCATCACACGTTTTACGTGAGCCCAATGCATCCTAAAACAATGGAATCTCCATGTTATTAAATACTTCATTTAAACGTGCACGCGTCAATCAGTCCTCTACTTACATGTAAACCCTCATCTGTCCCCCGGTCATTGCTCACGATTGAGATTCTCTCCCGGAGCTTACCTACTAACTACGCCTTTGCCTTACTATGACTTCTCCCCTGGACCACGACCCCGCTTTTCCGACTACCGCTTTAGCCACTCGATTTTGTACCTTCGCCCGTTTTATGCTTTCGCGGATCCTGACCCCAGCCTGTCTCTTCGTTTACGCCTCTGCCTACCGACGCAACTTCTACGCCTTCCCGGACTCCGACCCCTGCCAGTCCCTCGACTACGCCTTCGCCTGTCGATTCTGTGCCTACGCCTGTACTACGCCTTCCCGGACTCGGGCCCCTGCCTGTTTACTCCGACTACGCCTGCGTCTCGTGCCAACCCTACCAATGGCACCGCATTGGATCCCTATCCTCAGCAGTCAGCCCCTGCGTGACAGGTTCTGAGTGTCTTGGTTACATCCGTTTGTGTGTATAGATGAAAAAGCTATTGAAGAGCACCCCCACACCCCCCACCCATCTCGGTGGAAGTTGCCATGTTCAAAAAATCCTAAAAAGATCATTAAAGTTGCACACAACAAAGCATGACTGTGAAAGGTCAGGAGGCCTGCCTAGTGAGCACATCACTTGATTACAGTAAAAAAATCATTAAAAAATAAAGAAATGTTCCACAACTCAAAGCGAGGTTGTATAAGGTTAGGTGAAATGTCTGGTGTAAAACACCTGGTTGCAGCACTGTGGCTGTTGTGCTACAAAATAAAGAAAGGGGCCACAGCCACAGCAAGGTTGTATAAGGTTCGGGGGGCTGTCTGGTGTGTAAAACACTTGGTTTCAGCAGTGTGGCTGTTGTATTTGAAATGCTATTGAGCCGTGAGACCCACCTATCCCAGTGTATTACCTGTAGTGTTATCTTCAAAAAATCATAAAAAAATAAAGGTTCCACAACCCAAAACAAAGCTGGGAAAAGTCAGAGGACCTGCTTAGTGTGCAAAACACTTACTTGCAGCATTGTGGGTGCTGTGGTTTAAATGCTATTGGTTTGTGAACAGAATACCCCTAAAGGAGCAGATAGACCGCGTGTGTACGAATTATGAAATAAAGAAATTTTCATGTCATAGCTTAACTACAAAAATGAATGAATTATGTGTGTACTGTATATACTGTATTTTAAATTAGTTTTGCCTACTTCATCCTCATTAAACATCACATATTTCAGCTATTCTTTTACATTACAGAGAACGAAACGTCCAATGGAAATATCCAACAGAAAACTCTGTTACTCCAACATCTATTGCAGTTTGAAAAATGACACATTAAATAATTTAACTTCACTTACAGTCATTTCAGCTCCTCCGAGTTCCCTGAGTGGTATGTCTTCTCCGTTTACTGGGATTCGTTCATTCTTCTCCATACCTTAGCGTGAAAACGACACTAATTTACACAGTTTGCCACCGGGGATACTGATTTTGCTACGACACCGGCTCCGTTAACATTGACGCAAAGTCTTTCACTAAAACAAACCAGCCTTCCCCCTGCAGTGCTGCCGGTGAGGCCCCAGTACTTCCATTAACAAACCACCCCTACAACTTTCAACGCCCACTGGTGTAAAGGGGGTTGCTCCTACACATGAAGGTTGGTCTTGGTGTCGGTGACTTCACTTCCTGGTTTTCTCGGTGTAATGTCAGGTCATAGGAGACAATAGACGCCCGGGTCGAGTTTCGTGTCTCCCTGGCGTTTACTGTCCAATTTAATGAAATATTCACCGTAGTGAAGGCGCCACAAAGCCGAGCTGTCTCGCAGTAACCGATTAACAATTTACGAAGATTTATATGACTTAATAATGTGTTTAAAGTTGCCCTAAAAGTAATAGCAAACGTGGGGAATTAAGAACAATTCATAAAGCTGAAAGTTGGAAGAAAAAATACAGACTGTTCTCAAAGGAAGCCCCAAATAATGCTATGATCCAGTTTCTAGATTAACAGCCACGGAAGTTCCACTTTTTGAAGTTATTTTTGCAGGAGAAATGCATGTTTTTAAGCAGGATTCACGTGTCAACAACAGAGTTATCATCCAAACACTTCACAGAAGCAGTGTGTTAAACTCGGGTTCTGTCCAAATGTGATTCTGTAGTTATGGAATCAAGTCTGGGGCACACTATGGTGCAGTGATCAGTATTGCTGCCTGGCAGAACTGGGGCCCTGGGATCAGTTCTGGATTTGGGTGCTGTTCTGCACGGAGTTTGTATGTTCTCATGCGTTTCTTCTGGGTGCTCTGGTTTTCCTTCCACAGCCTAAAGACAAGCTGGTAGTCTTATCGACTTCTGTAAAAACTGGCCCTGCTGTGAAGGAAATGGATTGATGGATAAATCAAGTCTGGAGATCAAATGGGGATTATCCATTGGATTTCATTTTATCTGATTGAACTCATAATTGAGAGACTGATAGGATTCATATGATCTACTTAATGGTTTTCAGTTCCTGAACACATTAGAGGCTGACATTCAGTGACTGTACTTCAAAAGTAACTTAAAATCTTCATCTTTTCAGTAGGTAAAAAGTTTTGTGAGCATTCTAAGCAAGCTACTGACTAGTTAAACAGGTCAACTAAAATGAGAATCAGCAGGTTTCTGGGTCCCCATAGCCAGGCATGGGAACCCCTAGTTTAAACTGTCAAAGGCATTATATATAGTAGTTTAGGGTACCTGAGAGTCAATGGAAAGAAAACTAGAAGTCTATTTACCCTTCCAGTAATCGGGTTTTATACCTGTGCTTTGTACACTGATTTATAGGACTTTCAGTGACTTTTAAATCTAAAATAATGGTGCCAAAGGTGCTTAGCACTCTAAATACCAGGGTCCAACTCTTGTCCTGGAGGAACATTATGTTGGCTGCTTTTCATTGTAGCTTAATGGCTTAAATTATCTTGTTTTTATTTAGGTTTTTAACTTTGTTCTTTGGTCAATCCTGAGTGTCAAGATCTCCTACTTCATGAGCACAGCTCCCAACAACTTCAGCACTCACCATGTTCCCACAGCCTCTTCTCACGGTGCTCAAAGTTCTTTCTCACTGATACTATCTGATCAGTTGGTGGTGAAAAGACACAGGCAGGAAGAACTCTGATCAGATTTGCCCACAGTGGGTATGGGCCTAGCAGTCAGGCCCATTGTGGGAGTGCCACTGTATGGGACACACCCACAACAGCATTTTTTCTTCTGTAAAGGTTCAGTTGGTTAGGTTTCTGCCAGCACACCTGAATGTGGGCAGATCTGAACCTCAGATATTGGTACATCATTGATACTAGTTACAAATCCCACTTGACCTTCTAAGCACTAAAAGCAAATTTATAAATAGGCACCAAATAGAAATGTGAAAACAACTGATCTGTGATTAAGAACTCAGATGGCACAAAATCCAGAAGCCAGTGTTTCTCTAGGACCAGTGCTAGGGACCACTGGTCTATAGACAGAAAAAAATAAAACGTTCACTGTGGGAGTTTTTGAGACCATGCCATTCCCACCTTGTTCTGTTAATCATAAATTCAACCCCCAGTAGGAGCTGTTTAGAGAGAAATTAGGGAGAAAATGCAGATTAAACAAGATAAGGAGAGATTATAACAAGTTCTAATACACTACAAAAGTATATAAATAGAAAATAAATATATATGTTAAGGACATCATGTAGTTCTACTGAATAAAGGCCAGACGGAACAAACACTAGGCGACACTGGGCATTCTCAGAACCAGGGTTAGGAACCCCTAATATAAGGCCAATGACGACCAATGAAATTTTATTCAGATTTTTATTTTAAATGTTTTTTACAATAATTCCAGCAGAGGTAATACAACCCTTCTTCGCTCTGTCTTGATGCTCTTTATTGAGCTTTTAATAAAAAATAAACATCTGAAGACACACCTGTTCAAATTCTGTTAAACCATTTACTGGAAATATTCAATTTTGTAATACAAAAAACACTCTGAGTACAGAAACCCATCCAAACTAAAAGTACAACAAAACTAAAGCACTAAAACTACTCTACCACTAAAAGCATTTAAAACTGGAAAACTGTGATATGATGCAAATGATGAATATAAAAATGAGAAATGAAAATGATAAAATTCCTTTTAACAATTTGAACCTCATAGCTGACAGAAAATGTTCTAAATGCTGGTAATATCCACAATTTTATAGGAAAGACTGACATGATTGTAAAAACAAATTTGAGTAGCTGGCTATTGCAAAATTGAACAAAATGATTCATTGTGTAAAACTGAGAAATCTTTTACAATCTGAAAACATAAACAGAAATTCGACCAGAAGGTTTTGAAGCAAAGTGAACTGCACACAGGCCCAGCTATAGCAATAAAAAAACTTCTAACGAAGATCTAGCATATTTCTTTAAAAATATTACTTGTGATCCTTATCGCAAAACCCATTAAAAAAAACTAAATTTGCTATTTTAGCAAATAGTACCTGCAGTAGTCCGAAGAGGAATCAAATTCATGTCACACACTAAAACGGTAATCCATGTCCCCTGGTTTGTCCCCTGTTCATCTTACAAATAGCTTTTTATACTGGCATAGCCAGTAAACGCAGGGATGATCTTTCCCCCTCTTTTTTTACACTTTTTTTACACTTCAAAGGAGTGCAACACAAAGGGTTCAAAAAACTCCTAAAGGCCACTACAACTGCTTCATGTAAAGTCTCTGCTGCAAGTCTATATAGGGTATACTATACAATTACAATAGCTTTTCCCTATATGAACGTGTTCATCAATAAGCAAGCTGATATCTGTACACATATACAGTATTCTGTATATATTGGGTGATATAATGTGTCATTAAATTTGTAGAGATTTACAAGAAGCAACAACAGTGGCACAACACCATACAAAAACAGAGAATGAAATACAAGATTTATCCCTGATGTCCATGCACACAGCTGATATTTTTAGTAGAATGCCATAGCATATAATTTGGAGATAACTTCTCTTAATGTTCACAATAGTTCACATTTTACACATGCTGCTCACAAGTTGGTTTATGTAATTGTGTAATGAAATCCTTGATTGCTTTCTTAAAAGTTTACAGGGAAATGTTAATCATCTAAAAAAGTCGAGAAACAGTATGCTAGAAGAGATATGATTAACCAAACATGCAGCGAAGAGGAAGACTTTGCATCCAGAAACTTGGCAACATGCCTGCTGTCCTGCATCTGAACACAGCATATTGCCAGTTTTAGCATGGTACCTGCTATAGCATGTGACCTACAAGCCAATCACTCAGTCTTTAAGAGACCAGGATAAAGCTCATTACACACTGCCTGGGGAGATCACTGCGTCTCAGGGAAAGAAACGGACCCACAGCACCCAGCACACAGTTCAAATACAGGTGGAGGAAAATGTTCAGCTAGTGTACTCACTTGCACATTGTTCTCAATGGGAATTACAGATATTTTCACTAAAAAAAAAAGAAGAGGGCCATTATACTTCATCACTTGACTGTGCCTAGAGCTGTAGACAGAGTTGTCATCTCTTCAATACTAATGCTCAAATTACACTGAAATTTGGGACCATAGTTCTTAATGCAACAAAGGGAGTGTTAACAAAAGTGACCTTTTACATGAATATATCAGATCTTATCATTGAGGTCACATGAGGTCATGATTTATGTGTTGGTCCTGTGCAGTAGTCAGGAAAGTATGTAAACCTTTCTGCAACCTACTGCAGGCATCAATTCTTAACACAATATGATATAGTTGTTTGCATCTGCATTTCTTAAGACTGCACTTCCCCAGGGCCATTGTACAGAACTCTAAGGGATCAATCAGACTGGATTCCAGGACAAAACAAAAAGTTGCACAGGAAATCTGGGGGGTGTGCTCACTGTCCTGGCATCAGTTACAAAGAACAGAGGCTCCTTATCAGGGCTCCCCTAACAAAACTACACACATGCACACGCGTGTGAACAAAAACATTTGTACACTTCACATCAAGAGTCCCTAGTTTATACATGCATGCATTGACTACTTCAATGCATGTTGGTTTTATTTGCTCCTCACCAGCAGCCTGTGCTTGATTTGCTTTTGCAGTTAAAGAGCAAAACCAAAAAGAAGCTACTGTGGCCCAGTGTGTTGCCCCCTGCTTTGTGCTGATAGGCGGACTGCAGTACCTTTCCTCAAATATAACTTCGGTCTTCACTTGCAGCTTCAGGGTGTTTCACTTCCTGATTCCTTTCGGTTATTTTATATTCCAGCTCTCTGCTGTTGGTTTTCCTTCCATATTACAGATCATGGTTGAGTTTAATACACAAATCCTTCCTTAAAGCTGGACTTCACCCGGGTTATTGTCCTCTTTCAGCAGCTGTCTAATGGACAGACGCATGCATTACACCCTTCTCAATATCTCTATGACCCCGATTCTCAGCACAGCTGCTGCATTTCAAAAGAAAAGAATGTAAAGCCCAAAGGCAGCAGTGACCATGACAAGACTACAAGGCAGCTTGCATGGCTGCTCCTACCATCTCCACAGAGATGTGGGAGACGGAGAGTTGACGTGCTCTTCCTGAGCAGTCAGCAGGTGGCACTTTCCTAAGAGGAGGTCCAGGCTTGGGAATCCAGAAATAACTGGAACAGCAAATCAGGAAGAGATCACAGAGACCAGGCTCTCCCTGTAATAAGAGAATGAGCTGGAGCAGGAATGGACCAGTGGCCCAGTGTTCTAGGGCCACTGACTTTTTTAGAACTGCAGAGGCTCCTAAAGGTCAAGCAAGGGATTACACCTTATTAAACACACTGTAAATGCTGCTTTCTGGTTTTGTCTCCCCCCCCCCCCAACACGGTTTGTAATGCACTTTTGTAATCATTTCCTACTCAACAGTAACCCATGTGCTTGAATGTGAACATTTGACATTGCTTGGAGTTGTGCAAACGCTTTTCTGCGACTGTGTATCTGGGATGATGTGCTCAATGTGATGGCAATGGTGAAAGCAGGGAGATTTTTCTATAGATTTAGACTATGCATCTTCAAATCCTCCCATGGCTTGGACGCCATGTCTTGGAACTAAGATTCCCTTTTGGCTTGTAATAGTCAGCAGTGTTTCGGCCACAGCTGCAGAAACTGTTTTATGTGCCCACTGACCCCACCTGTGTTGTAGCCTGTGAGGCATCTTTTCTCTCAGTTGACTTTGAAACCTGAGAGTTGGGTTTGTTATTGGGAGAATTTGATTCTAAAGTATCTGACGGACAAACTTGGTGGGTCACATCAAACTATCTTGTAAAACCATGATGATGACAGTGTCTGATGCAATGGGGATATTTTCTCACGTGGTCATTCCAGGCAGTGTGTAAACTTTGCAAGCAGAAATAATTTCTCCTTGAATTTGGCAGAGGAGCACCAAAGCCCTGAAGCTGCCCCAGAAAAGCGGCATTCAATTCAAGTGCTCCATCAACCCAAAGAGCACTACTGGTAGAAAGGCTGAACAGGGCCTTCAAACTTGGCATCGAAGGTGTACAGACGGTGCTTCCTCTCCGCGTCGTAGAAGGTCAGTTGGCCCTCCTTGTAGTCAAGCAGGCAGCCCAGCTTCTTCGGTGGCTCAGCGGGGGTAATGGGGAAAGGTGTTGGCAGCATGGCACAGTACCCACTGGTCTCACCACAAGACAGCGCCCAGACACTGTCGTTCGTGTTGGTGTCCTTGTTGACTGCGACATCCTTCTTCTTCACGCCCACCTTCCACTCCTTCCTGTCCCCAACGTCCACTTCCCAGTAACGGTTCCCATCTGAAAACTCGGGGCCCACCGAGTTCTTCGTCAGCGAGACATTGGCTGGGGAAAAAAACAGATGGGGGTTGGGGGGGGGTGGGGATAGGACGCTGAATTTTGTTATGGCTAGGAACTACACACAATTCTTGATCGGATATGCGGGTGCTTGTTGTCATACCTGCTCTTGTCAGAGAACTAGAAATCACACCAGAATTATCACCAATAAGATGAATCCAGTTGATTCATGAGTTACCATAACAACATGCTACGGTAGAACATCAGTTCCACCTGCTGGTCTTTAAGCACCTGGCTGTGACCTGCCTCTGCATTCTCTAGTATTCATCATGTACTTACCTTCTGTATTTACACTGTTTGTTTCTATGTTTCTCTGGCTTTGAATTTATCTTAAGGGAAAAGAATTTAAAGATTTTTATCTCATTCTAATTTGAATAATCTGTTCCAAGATTTGCTCCTTTATTTTGTTTGTAAATCAGAAGCAATTATTTACTAAACAAATCACCCTTTTAAAAGCTGAATTTGATTTAGGAATCTGCTTAGAAAGACGTTGGGACATTTAAGTTTATAACTGAGTGCTTACGTTCCTGTTCTGCCCAAAGAATCATGCATAAAGATATTCCCATTCTGTGGCTAGTTGGTGTCAGAGAACACTACCCCAGTTGTGACCCTATAACAAGGTGACTGCTCAAAGGGTGTGGAAGAGGTTATTGTTGCCATCTTTCCCAGGGGAAGATGGGATTCTCTGTGAACAAGCAACAATCTGTTTATTACCCTGAGAAAACTGATATTTTAGCCTTCAGGAAATAGTGTGGCCATACTTCTTTTAAAAATGTGAACAGCCTTTTCCTATTCTCCCTCAATTTGTGTCATAAAGGTGAAACTCACTGAAACCATGTGTTACTCAGAGGTGGAAGATCACTGCTTTTACCCCAAGACCCTACTACATTATTCATTCCAAACTACACTATTCATTAAAAGAAAATGTACTGGGTACATGTACACAGTGGGCAAGTGGCTGTTGTTCCATCTTTAATTGCTAGCAAAAGCAGATCTTAAAAACACAGCCAATATAACTTGGGGGACATGATTGATTTTGTTAGTTTTTAACTGGAGTGATTCAATTGACTTCTTCACCAGAGAGCTTACACTCTTGGTGTAAAAACCCACACTAATCAACATGCCTATCAAGTCAGTTTCAGATCTTTCAGGAACATTTCCTTTGGAACACAGGCTCCTAGCAAATACATCCATTCCTTTTAAAGAATCTAGAGAGGAGAAGAGATCTGTTTGGGACTAAGGAGTGTATTTGGAAGTGAATCATGGCCAGCTTACCAGCTTTTTTGGTCTGAATGCGCTTCCACTCTGTATAAAAGAAAGAGGGAAAAACGTTAAAACTGTATCTGAAGTTGGTGACCAAAAAAATGCAATCTTATGAGTGCATCATCCTAAATTTTCCATTAGAAAATTAAAACGATAATAATGTAATTAATTATGCATGGTAAAAAATACTGATATTCATATTTGGGGATTTTAATGGAAATTCAAACAGATACTACCATCCATATTGCTGAATACAAAATTGTGTTTTTAGTAATACCATGTCATGCGTTTTAAGTGCTATTGGAATAAAGATACTGCAATAAATACCGATTTTAATAGCCAAATTATTGAAAAATGGGTTTGATCACAAGGATTTTATAAGCCCTCAGAGCAGAAAGTGCATTTCTTATTGTAAGTCACGTGGGCTTCATCTATTTCTCATGGTTTTTCCATCTGCTAGCCAACTTCCAGGACAATCCTAACCCTTCTAAACACATCAGTTTTTCTCACATAAAGATCAGGAAAAAGCAAAACAACATTTTGTCTTAAAGCGTTCAGTTCACTGCTGAAAACAAATACATCATGTTGACAACACAGGCGTGTTGCTGGCTGTTGGCAGGAGCACAATACCAGCAGACCTCAAAGCTTTGACTTGCAAATTACCTGAATCGTTGACGAGTCGAGCATCAGCTGCAAAATAAATACGTGACCATGAGTGATTCACTTTATCATACTTAAAAATACCTCCATACACGAGACTGAACTCCCTCACCCTGTCCACATATGACAATCCCCTGACAACAGGAATTATTCTTAATGCTTTATTTTGAATTCTTTGTTAGGTTGTAATATAATTTTTAACAGAACACATCTTAGAATATTATCACAATGTCATAATTACAAATTGGATTAGAATTCCACATCTTTTGCAATACACCTGAGAATCACATTTGCTTTTCTATCGCTTCACACACAGGAGGGGACAAACTTCATCCTCCCCACCTGGGTGACAGAGGGCTGTCATTCTGTCCCACCAGCCCCACTGCGCAGTACGTCAGGTGGAGGAGTGAGAGGTCACTTCCCCAATTCAGGTCAACTTGAGGGAGGACAGATTGTTCGTGCCCAGAGAGGAATTTAGTCCAGAATCTGGGATTAACATCCCTACTCTTTCAAACACTGCCCCAGATTCTTTAGTGACCATGTTGTTGAGACTTTTCCATATTCCAAATCAAACAGTTGGGATGGCACTAGAGCAATTTGATGAACGTCAGATTTCTATGACCTGTCATGTCTTGTATGATTTGCACTGATGACACACAATAGCAACATGTCTGTACAGGCACACATGTTATTCTCCTTAACAGCTTTGAGACAGACTCAGTGTCGGGCTCTGAGAGAGAGCTTCAACAGAACAGCTGCTGGTGCTTTAACGAAAGTCTGTAGTCTAAAATCCTAAAATTCAGCTACAGCAGGAGCCTTATTTTCAGTCCTATGCATACAGCATGCAAGTAAATATGGAGGTCATCTATTCCAAAATCCTCCATATCCAAGACACAAACTGCATGGACTTCCTGATGGCTGCTTCTTAAATACGTTCCAAGAAAGGATAACCGTGCCAATGGCTCCAAAGATACAGAAGGGTTTGCTATCTGCAACTAACCTCAAGGTTTCAACAGGAAAATGCAAGACTTAAACTTAGTATTATACTGAAAGAAAGACCTTAAAGCACTCAGTAAGGTATTTGCATGTACTTACAAAGCTCCTTCTTCAGCTTCTCATAGTCTGAAAAGAAATAAAAAACATGTAACACAAAAGATATCCCTCGTTAGCCCTCAGCTATTAAAAAGGCTGTATATAGTCATATGACAACTGCCGAAACAGTCACTCTTTGTACATGACACAGCAGTTTAAAATAATGTTATCTATACAATGGTGTTCTTCCATGCTATTCAATTAATGTTTCATTCGTCTTTTTGAACTGCTAAACTAGTAAAAACTTTCTCTCTGTATCTGGGTTGGGATCAGTCAAACTCAACTTGTGAAGCATTTGTATTCAGAATCTTCAAAGGGAAAAAGTCAACCCAGTGGACTTCATCAGAATAAACAGTGAATCGTGAACCTGAATCATTTCTTTACACAAAGGGGTGTGGCACTGGGGGACAGGCTACCCAGTCACACTGTTTAAAGTCGCCAGTCTGGTTCACTTCCAGAAATGGCCGGATGAGACTCCTGGATCAGTTAGAAACTAACTACCAAAAGTTAGTTTGCAGCAGCCAATGAAGGTGCTCCTTGCTGGTGCTTGGTATTGTGATGTGTTATGTGTTGCGTCTTGTGAAGGACATGTCCTCTGTCACCTTATGGTGGGGCAGCTCGAGGGAAGCACAGTGTTTTGAAGTTGGGCTCAGAATTTCATTATTCCCTCCATCCACTTTGCAAACCAGATAAGTGCATGAAGGGAATGTGCTTTCTGCCAGGTGCCTTCTCAATAAAAATCGGTTATACGAAGAATTAAAGCCTCTACGTTTAAGTGGATAACACAGTCTCCTCACTTTTGAGACGAAGTCTTAAAATAACTGCAGATTCAAGATCGAGTGGATATTTTATAAAACAACAAACGTGGAATCCAAATATCTAGAAAAGGGTCGCACATACTTTCCTTGACATCCTTCTTGTCCGTCTCTGTGAAATGAAAGCAAAAGAAACAAAGACAAGAGCGATGAGTGAATCATGTTGGGTGCTGCTGAAGTTCATCTCTGTTTTGCAAGCAAGCAGGTTTGTGATCGAGTCATGGCCAAAAGTGCTGAGGAAGTGGTTTCTGCCCACAGAATTCACAGGAACACAGACCGGATGACGAATTTCAAATGAAATAAAAGTGCCAAGAGCAAGCTTGGTAATTTATTTTGACACATGCAATTGAATTATTCGCCCTTGTCTTGCTCAGACTGGGCAACACTGAAGCCCGGGTCAGACCCTGCCCGTTAAGGAAACTCAGACCTAACCAGGAGAACAAAAGAGTGCAATTAGAAGGAGCCTAAATGTGCCTGCCCTCTTCTGTGCCAACATGAGGTCCCTTAGAAATACAAACAGTGACCTAGACTTCAGCTTGTAGGCTACAGTCGTCTCCATTGCATACTGTCCTGTGTCTGTCCTCCTGTTACATCCCTTCACTCCGCATGGAAGAACAAGACTCCAGCCAATACCAGGTCTCATCGCTTCCTCAAAGGCTGCCATTTCGGACTGGATCTGCTGTTCAGGTGCCTGCTGTACACTTCACAGCTCTTTTGAGGTAGTGCGGTGGTCAGCCCAGCCTCCGGTTCTGGGTTTCTGCCTGGCCATGGGTGCCCAACTGCCTGGAGTCTGCACAATCTCCCGGTTCTTCCCACTTCCCAGAAACGTGCATCCAGGTCTAACTGGCTATTCTACACTGTCCCTTTTACAATGGCCCTGTGAGGGGAGTGGGCAACCCTGTGCTCCCTAGACCCCACCTTGCAACCTGTGCCTCCAGAACTGGCTTCAGGTTACTGGGACACTTGTCAGGAGGTGGCTGATTAAGAAAAACACAATGGATGGATTTTCTACCATTGCTTCCACTATATTAGCTCCTGCACTATGCAATTCATTACATTGATGCAGCTGCCAGAGTCTGTATCACTTTACACAGAATGGTCTGTGTTTTGAGAAGCGAAACCCTTCGATGTCACCATGGATATACGTCCTGCCAAACTGCAGCTGCTAAAAACTGCTCCGTTACTGAGTGTTACCATGCTATATAGCAGGATTCGTGACAATGACTTGCTAAACAGCAAACCATCCTGAGCTAACAACAAAATACAGCTCCTGATGAGCTGTAAAATAATTTCTCATTAATAGAATAATAATGAACATATTACCTGAGTGCTCAAGAAGAGGCTGTCGTTCTGGAAGAAAAAAGGGATATGTTTAGTGCACTGGAGCTTTCACTTTCTTTCAGTTTTGTAAACAACTCAATTGCTTCACTGTAGCTTATTTTCACTTTATAAGTCAACACTACAGTATATAATATAACAATAATATAACAATAACCATGTTATATTATGTCTAATACAAGCAGGCTTAGGTAGAAGCTGCATTTATTTGGTGTGGAAAATGTGGAGGAAGTGCACAGATGTTATTCAACATGTCCAAAGACGGTTGATCTCTGAGGATAACAGTTCTGGACACTGCCCCGAAAAAAAAACTCTTTCAAGAATATATTTGACCTAATCTGGCACTTAAAAGACTAAAAAGATTTGAATACATTTGGTAGGTATCGAACATTTTAAAGGAAGAAATTAGAAACAATTATGATAGTTTTAAGAGGCACAAACACCAGTTACATCTGTCATGTCACCTGGATTCCTGAGGTGAATTCAGCCACAATTATGAATTTCCTATGCTACCTTAAATCTCAAGGGTGAATGAGGTGGCAAAGGCCATTTTTTAGGGTCTCACATTCTGTGTTCATATATTATGAAGCTGTAAAGGAATCTGTGGATTTCATATAGGTAATTTAAAATCTCCAACAGTTTCTGTGCTAAAAACAAGTAAAAATTATTATTTAGAAACGTATTGGTTCAATGAAGGGTTTAACTCAACAACTGAGGAGGAATCAGAATTAATTCAAAACAAGATACTGTATTCCCTAAGAAACCGGGCTATCCTGACCAGGTTTTACTGGACAGTTGTAATACTGTTGTGGACTATGTTCTATTTCATGTAGCTTTCTGAACATGTGTAGAAGAGAAAAGTTGAAAAGTCACAAATCTGTAGTAGTTATACAAGTATGATGCATTTACCAGCTTCTTTGGCCTGTCTTTCTTTCTCTGAAAAGATAAAGAGAACAAAAACACAGCGTTACAACGTGTAGCAAGGAGGAAAGACTTGATAGACAATGATTAGATGATATTCTAACTATGATGATGAAGAGAAACGCCAAGTCGTGGCTGATGAAGAAGAGGGGGAATCTCACCTTTAATTGCATCTCTCTTCTTCTTGAAAAAGAAGAAGGCCACCGCAGCAGCAATCACAATGAGGAAGAAAACCACCCAAAATGCAATGAGCCAGGGAGAGACATCTGGAGGAAACTCGCCTAGTGAACAAAGGATGATTTGACTCTGTTATTACAGCTACTGATTCTGTATTGCCTACTCAACTCAAGGGCAGCATCTTTTGCTTGCAAATTACAACATAAACTGGCAATATAGTAATGTACAACACTGTGCTTTGATTGTCTGAGGATCATTAATATGAACTCCAATACCTGTAGCAAGTGGATAAAAACACCTGGTATTACTTGGCTTAATGGGATTGTACTGTAACTGGGCTGCGTGTACCAGCTATCTATCTTCAGTTTTACTATAATTGAAATACATAATAATAATAATAATAATAATAATAATAATTGCTTACACTTATATAGCGCTTTTCTGGACACTCCAGTCAAAGCACTTTACAGGTAATGGGGACTCCCCTAAACCACCACCAATGTGCAGCCCCACCTGGATGATGCGACGGCAGCCATAGTGCGCCAGAACGCTCACCACACATCAGC